GGCCAAGAAGTTCCGGATGAAATGAAGGGCTGTAGATTGGCGCTACTGAAGTGAAGTAAGTAGGAGATGAAGGGTATTGGGAAGTGGTAGAAGGAGAGATGCTGGAGGTAGTGAGGATGTGAAAGTAGATGGAGAAGGGCATGTGAGTGAGGATGAGGATTGGTTTGGTGTGAGAGGGATGAAGTGGTGAATGATGATTATTGAATGGGAATCTAGGCAGGGGCAATGTGTGGTGTGGTAGTTGGGGTCTGAGGTGGTCAGTAAACTTACCTGGCACCGGGTTCAGGGTGATCAGCAAGGCCCTGACCCCAGGTGGAGGCTCGCCATTGCACTCCGGCGTGTTGAAGCCTGCGACGGACTCTAATCGGGTTCGCTCGGGTGCATAGTTTTTGCCAGTGGGGAGCCCTGGGGCATCCCTTGCATCTGCAATCCAAGATAATGCCTGCCCATCATCGCATCACTCCTATCTCTCCTGCATCATCCTCACCCTCAACTTCACCTCACACCTGCTCCTCCAACCACCACACACCTTCATGCCCTGCTCCCAACCTCATCATCCCATCTCTTCCCCCTCATCCTGCGCCCACTTCATCTCCCATACTTACACTTCACACCAACTGCTGCACATCAAACACTGCCCCTCTCCTCCTCCCCTTTCATGGCTCTTCTTCCTCACCCCCTGAAGCCACTAATTCACCCAGAGCAACAACAGGGCGGCCTCATGCAAGTCACTCATTACTTCTCGTCAGATGCCTTACTGGCTTATTCACATGGGTGGCGATGAGGTCAGGCAGGTGGGCAGGTGGAGAGCATACAGGCCAAACCATTGTAGACTACTGTGCTTGCAATGCGAACTGCGGCGGCCTCACGGAGTCAGACATATTTGACGGAGGCCAGTGTGGACTGCACGAAATGATGTCGAGAAATAAGCCGATGCGTGTATATGTGAGTGGGTGGGTGGGTTGAGTGCATGTGTTTGCCCCTAGAATGAAGCAGACGGTGGACGCGCTGGATTAGCAGAGAGGCCAGATGAGTAGACGAAAGGCGATATTAGGAATGCGCAGCCCTAAGGAATGCTTGGCATACTGCGGTGCGATGGTGCAGTTGGTGGCGGTGTTGGCGATGGTGAGGGTGCTGGTGGTATTGGCGGCGGCGGCGACGGTGGCGGCGGCGGCGGCGGAGGGGAGGAGTGAGGCGTTTGTTGGCAAACCTATGTGCATGCCCATGTCATGCCTGCATTCCTGCACACCATCCGGCCTCCGGCATCTTTGAGAGTGTCATAACACTTGGCTCAGGTGCATCGGGCCGATCAGGAGATGGAGGAGGAGGAGGAGGAGGAGGAGGAGGAGAAGGAGGAGAGAGTTTGGAGGAGGCATCACAAGGCTACTCTCCCTATAATCCCTTCTCCGCGCAATTCACCGTGCTTGCCTCGACCATGATGCAGTGAACACGGTGGACATGGTCACAATCGACGGTCCGACTCTCGCCTGCTCGTTCGACTGACGACTGTGTGTCGATGTGTGCGTGAGCCTGTGTGAGTGTGTGATGAGGTATCGAGAGAGAGAGAGAGAGAGAGAGAGAGAGGTAGAGCGATTGAGGGAGCTTGTAAGGACGGGAAGCCTAGGTTGGTGGTAGCATTCGCAGCAGTGGCAACAGCTGAGGCCTCGGCAGCAGCAATATGAACTGCGGCAGTAGTAGTGGCAGTAGTAGGTTATATGTGTGAGAGGCGTCAGACAGGGACGCATGTCTCATTAGCCTTCGGGAGAGCAGTCATCTTCCGTGAACTGAGGTCTGCAATATATGCGGCTGAGAGGCATGACATGCTAGTGTCTGGCTTAATGATGCAGTTGTGGCCAAAGGCATGCCTCTGAATGAGGCATCAATTTGAGCACTCAGTACTGACAGTGGTTCATGAGGATGATGGCTGATTGAGGGCG